CAAGAGGAGGCATTCGAGTGTCCCAAGCCAAAGTTGAAAGCTGAGCTTCTGGAATGCTGCACAGTTGAGGCTTTTTCAGGACTAGGGTTTAGGGTTTAGAGTTTAGGATTTAGGGTCCAGGGTTTTAGGGTGAAGGGTTTTAGGGTTTAGGGTTTAGGCTGCAGGGTTCAGGGCATAGCATGGTAATTGCCATTTCCTACTCCATTCCCCCTCATCAAGATTGGAACCTAAATCCCAAACCCCAAACCCTAGACCTTAAACCCTAAACCTCAAGAAAGATTCCTTCCGGATTGACGCCATGGAGGGCCGCTTTCGGTAGTCATGGGCCAGCATCTGCATAATAAGAGTGTCGACCTGGAAATTTCTCTTAGTCGGGATACGTTCAGGGACCCCATATAAGGATATATAGTGATATTAAGTGTGGTACAGGATCATACAGAGGTTCTACAGAGAGATTCACTCAAATGCTGCACGATCAAAAGGAAAAGAAAATGGGAAGTTAAGTAGAAACTGCTATCCAGTGTTAAGGGTATGCGTTTAATATGGGACTTTCTCCAATTACTGTAGGGTAACCAAGGGACCCCAAACATAAATTGATTCAGATTATGAGAGGGTTCAGGGATCCTTATGAAAGATTATAACGTGATTGTCTTGCGAAGCTCCCTCGTCGAGATGTACGAGGATCGCAAGGGGATTATGGGGTCCCAGTACTTATTGTGGCAGGGCAATTTGAAAAACACCCACCTTCTTGGTTCCGCGGATCGTGGGGTCCGTGGAAGGATCGTAACGGTGGACCATGAACTGCAGGTTCCGAGAAAAGAAAGGGCTTTTGTTGCTGACCATACACCCCAAATCCTAAACCCTACTGAGAGGGTCAGGGGGACTTAGTAAGTATAATGGGGATAATTGGGGGTACTATTCGGGTTAAAGGGATTATTAACTTGCTTACTAAGTCAAGTAGATCCTCGACTCTACACTCTCAGCCATAACTTAAATTCTAAACTCCAAACCCCAAACCCTAAACCCTAAACCCTAAACCCCCAACCCTAAACCCGTCTCCTAAACCGCGTACCCTAGCCTGCGGGTTGGAGAAGAAGGGAGGATTCTTGTTGCTATTCGGGTTAAAGGGAGGTAGATCCTCAACTCTACACTCTCAGCCCTAACTCAAACTCTAGACTCCAAACCCAAAATTCTAAACCCTAACCTGCGGATTTGAGAAGAAGGGAGGATTCTTGTTGTAGACCAGCTGATAGAGGATCACGCCCAGGGCCCATACGTCCCTCGAGGCAAGATACAACGCCCTCACCTTTTTGGCTCCGATTTAGGGTTTAAGGTCTGAGATTTGGGGTTTAGGGTTTAGGGTTTGGGGTTTAGGATTTAGGGTTTAGGGCTTAGGATTTAGGGTTTAGGGTTTAGGTTTTGGGGCTTAGGGTTTAGGATTGTGCCCGATCAATGAGAATTTAAGGAATAAGTGAGGGGCATATTGGGGTTATACAAGGTTCTACAGGGGGTTATAATTTCCAAGCTAAAACTCAAGCTTTTCTTTACCTTCAGGCTTTAAAAGCTGTCGATACGTCGCACCGGGTGACATCCTGGTTCCAAACTTCGGGTGGCATATACCTGAGTTGCTGTTGATGAACTTAAATTATGTTACCATTTGGGTCAATCCCCCATCCAGTAATAGG